CTGACACCGCAAAGGACGCTCCTTTCATGAACAGATATTCACTAGACCTAGGGTAAAGTTAAGGGGGGGGGGGGGACCACTACCCATAACACCAACACTTTTTACCCCTGACTCTCTGAGGCTCAGTCCCAGGAAGAGGTAAAGATAGTCGGTAAAAGGAAAAAAAAAAATAAAACTCCAGTAAAACAGACAGGACAAAAAGTAGCATGTTTGACAATGTAGCTATAGACAGATACACAGAAAAGTATCCGACAAGCGCACGTGCAGTCAAACAGAAAAATATAGATAGACATATAAATTGATAAACAGAAACATAGAGAAATACAGATATATATATACAGACAGACGAATGGTTAGAAAGACAGACATTTAAGCATGAAGATAACTAGATAGATAGCTAAACAGACAGACAGACAGACAGACAGACAGACAGACAGACAGACAGACAGACAGACAGACAGACAGACAGACAGACAGACAGACAGACAGACAGACAGACAGACAGACAGACAGACAGACAGACAGACAGACAGACAGACAGACAGACAGACAGACGGACGGACGGACGGACGGACGGACGGACGGACAGACAGACAGACAGATAGATAGATAGATAGATAGATAGATAGATAGATAGATAGATAGATAGATAGATAGATAGATAGATAGATAGATAGATAGATAGATAGATAGATAGATAGATAGATAGATAGATAGATAGATAGATAGATAGATAGATAGATAGATAGATAGATAGATAGATAGATAGATAGATAGATAGATAGATAGATAGATAGATAGATAGATAGATAGATAGATAGATAGATAGATAGATTAGATAGATAGATAGATAGATAGATAGATAGATAGATAGATAGATAGATAGATAGATAGATAGATAGATAGATAGATAGATAGATAGATAGATAGATAGATAGATAGATAGATAGATAGATAGATAGATAGATAGATAGATAGATAGATAGATAGATAGATAGATAGATAGATAGATAGCTAGATAGCTAGATAGCTAGATAGCTAGATAGCTAGATAGATAGCTAGATATATAGCTAGATAGATAGATAGATAGATAGATAGATAGATAGATAGATAGATAGATAGATAGATAGATAGATAGATAGATAGATAGATAGATAGATAGATAGATAGATAGATAGATAGATAGATAGATAGATAGATAGATAGATAGATAGATAGATAGATAGATAGATAGATAGATAGATAGATAGATAGATAGATAGATAGATAGATAGATAGATAGATAGATAGATAGATAGATAGATAGATAGATAGATAGATAGATACTATTCTCTATTTTCAGGAATGTTTCTGTATCGGTGGAATCGTGTCCTGCTCAGACACAAACCTACAAGCCATACCACAGTTGGTCTACACTAACGCAAGCATACACTGGTCGCTGGCCATCGATGTATGTTGATGTTTCTTTTGTTGATTACATGCACAGCCATGCTAACTATTTCTGTAATAAGTAGTTTAGATTGTTCTTTGGTGTGCACTCATTACTTTAATAAAACAACGTTCTGGTCTAGATTTTTTTTTCTCTACTGTACATTCACTACTTTAATAAAATCAAGTTTCTGGTCTGAATCGTTCTTGACTGTAAATTCATTGCTTTAATAAAGGGACGTTCTGGTGCAAAGCGTTATAAATATAACACTACCGTACAGGAATAGCTAGAGTTCAAGAGGCCGTTGGGTGCTCCGCCACCATTGAAATCTAGCAAACGATTTGACGACTGGGCATGAGGTGGCACATAGCCTTTACTCCTTGAGGGAAGAAGAAATCCAACGAAATATTGGGTGTTGCTGATTCCCTATTTCTGGACGAATAGTACAAAAGTTACGTGGCCCAGCCACGGAATCGTGTGTTTGATGGGAAACAGTAAGCTGTAGATTTCACATGCAATATTTGTTTTTCTGTTGTGCCACGGTGTATTGTTGACAATACACAAATGGCGGCTGGTCGACTGCAATAAGACTGTTGTGTTATTTATGGGGATCTTTTTTTTAAATAGGCGACTTTTTGTGCCAACAGTAGCTGCAATTCTGGCGTGGACAGTTAGGGGTGGCACATCTGACGGCAGTCCAGGTTTACTTTGCGCGAACAAGCTTCAAAATTTTGTTTGGGACTGATAAGTGATGGTTGCCACCTGCCAACAAAGTCCAACATGTGTCCGGTAAACCAATCGTAAGCTTGCCACTCGGTCGTCCAGGTATACAGACTGCTTTAATTATGCTACTCATCTCACAGTACCTTTTGCAAAATCACCAATTCGTCTTGTTCCTGTCCGAATAACATCCAGTAATACGTGCAGCAGGGGAAACCAACCCTGAGCTTCATGAACTGAGGTGGGCCCACTCTCCGAAAATGTCTAGGAGCTCGTGGGCCGAAACATTTGTCGACGAAAAGTTACTTCTACTGATGATTGGTAGACTCCTGCTGTACATGCTCCCCTGTGGAGTTTATTCTTCTTCACTAGTTTTGAAATGGGACAGTGGAGGTCATTTCCACTGACAGGAGAGCGGGATTGTTATGGCGTGATCCGTCTGCAGAGAATTTAGATTGTGACGAACTAACGAACTAACATTGGGGCAGGCACGTAAGCCTCTAGAGTAGTCTAGATATTACACTAACCTAGCAGTTAATTTACATTCAATTTTATAAACATTGTCTAATGTGTAATGTAATGTTATATAAATTTTTTAAAATCTAATTTTATATATAAGGTCAAAGATGCGATAAAATCTGGTCAGAAAGCACTGACATTGAGGGAAGTCATGGGTTACATACAACAAGACCGACGCGGCCTGAAGCATGGGAAAGTCACTCGGTGGTCCAAAGCCTAGTTAAAAGAACGCAGTGACATGGTAATACAGCAGATAAGGGACACGGTAAATGACAGTCGGGTCCAGAAAGCGGACAAACAGTTGTAGCAAGGTCAATGGATTGGCCTCGAGAGCGCCTTGCCACAAATACTCACATGGAATGAAATCTGGCGAAAAGCCCGGCTGCGTCTAGCGCCAACTTGGTCAAGTGGTGTGCGACCACTGATCCCACATATCCACTATGCAGAGCTAAGCAGACGCTCGAGCACATATTGTCTGCGTACAGAAAAGACCTAGGCCAGACACGATATACTTAGAGACACAATAAATTCCTGAAAGAGTTAGCGGACATTGTGAATCAAGCTAGGATGAGGGCCAACGCAAGGGCCAGTTCTATGCGCCCCATGCGCTACTTAAATCCTGGATAGATCTATAAAGGTAAAATCAACAAGGTCGCATACGCTCCATCAATGCTTGACTGCGCGAGGGACTGGTTACTGGCGGTCGACCTGCCTCATTAAAAAAAAAAATACACAGAATCAATCTGAAAGACTGGTCTGAGACCAGACACGGTCCTGCACTGTGTGGAAAAAACCCGGCTCATCCTGATAGAGCTGACCGTGCCGTACTAGTCGCGGATGGAATAAAATCATCTGTACAAGCTATAACAATACGGTGATCTGGTGGCCGGTCTAAGCAGAAATGCAGCGTAAACAACAACACTCCTCGCCGTCGAAGTGAGTGCAAGAAAACCTGTCTCCACTTTCACATATAATGTGCTAAGAGATTTGGGCTTGCGAGGAAATGAACGGAAACGGGCACTAAAACTGGGCGAAGCTGTGGAAAGAGCTTCGAGCTGGCTGTGGATACAATGGAACGTCGTGGGCGTTGGGCCCTCGTAGACTGGTCCGAGTCCTATTGGAAAAAAGCTTTTCATTCCTGAAAGCCAAAGTGCTCGATAAATGTCTTCCAGTGTCACTCTGCCAATTGCCAAAGTCTATCACCCGTGCGATGAACCAACCGTAAGCTTGTCACTCTGGTCGTAAAGTCAATCGGCTAATTTGCTACCGCAGCGACAATATATAGCACAACATCTCAAAAAACATGTTGTAAAGTCACCATTTCGTCTTGTCCGTGTCAGCACGTCCGTTAAGTGTAGCAGGGGATATACGAAGCCTGGCTTCATGAACAAAGTCGGTCGACGTTCCGAGAATGTCGATAGAGATAATAGGCCGAAACAATTGTTGACGAAGGACCTTTCAACTGATGATCGGTGGACCCCTGCTGTGCATGCTTTACTGTGTTTTTCTTTTATATATATATATAAATACACACACATACACACACTGACACACACACTGTAGTTATGGAAAAAATACACATTGATTGTGCTGCAAGTTAAATACTATTATTACAATAACAACAACAGCTACTACTACTACTATTAATATTACTACTACTACTACTACTACTACTACTACTACTACTACTACTACTACTACTACTACTACTACTACTACTACTACTACTACTACTACTACTACTACTACTACTACTACTACTACTACTACTACTACTACTATCACTACTACCACTACTAATACTACAACTTACACAACAAAAAACACAACAACTACTACTACTACTACGACCACCACCACCACCACCACCACAACAACAACAAATAAAACAACTTATACAACAACAACAACAGCTTCTACTACTACAACTACTTGTAGTATTACTACTGCTAAAACAATAATAATAATGTGCTACATAAAGAATACATATAATATATTTGATTTACTATATGTATAAACAAAACAATCAGACTTAAAACACATCTATGATTGGGGGAGTGGGAAGGGGCAGCCTAGCACCCCATACCATTTCAAAGGAACGTTGAAACGGGTGGTTAAACCTACAATTAATTCTTTTTTTTTTCCTGGTAAAAAGGGGTGGGGTGGAGGGCTCAGTGTGACTAAACTTTCTTACGGTGCATATGAGCCTGATAACAGTTAAATATGATTACAGGTAAATAAAAAGAAATACTCAAGAATAACAAAAAAAAAAAAAAAAAAAAAAAGGAACTATTCTTATTGTTATTTATATTTTTTGTGTTTACTTCCACAGACAAATAATATTTCACGAATACCTGCAGGAAGCCTGCCACCAAATCTAACAGACATCAATTTGAATGAGAATCCAATAACAGCAATAGACGATAATGCATTCGACGATTCTATCCTCACCTTGATAGCGGTTTATTTGTCCAGCTTTCGTTTCACTCGACTCCCGAACGCTATTGGACATTTGCGAGCTTTGGTCAGTTTGTCCATCTCTGCGGCAAACATCACAGACTGGAACGAGGCAGTTTGGGTTAACATTGGTCAAACTCTAAAGTCGCTGGAGCTAGATACCAATGGGTTTACTCAATGGCCCAGTTGGATTCGGCATTGTACGCAACTGACCAGTCTAATCGTTGTATGGAATTCGTTTTCTTCCATTCCCGATGGCGCACTAGATTCTGTGGCCCATAGTCTGACAAGTTTGGAGCTCAACAACAACAGATTGACTATGATACCTAAGGCGCTTTCAAACTTGAATACTCTACAAACACTATATCTGCAGGTCAATCAAATTACAGATATAGGGTGGCTTCCTCAGAATAGCAAGTTGAGTACCTTATCCCTCAGTTATAATTACATCTGGAATGCCACTCAGTTAAGCGAGGTTCTGCGTCCTTATAATGAATCAATTATTGCTTTTGAAATTGACAACAACCATCTGACCAGTATCCCAGATATTTCTTATTTGGTTAACGTCAGATTCCTGGATTTGACACACAACAGAATATATGATTCAATTTCTGGCGCTGTTCCTCTCAATGTTATCATTCTAGATTTATATTATAATTCGTTTCCCTATGTACCTAAAATTGTGCCACAACTGTTGCTACTAACGACCATAGCTTTGTCCAACAATGCTATACGAGCGATCAGAAAAACAGATTTCCATATAAATACAACGACGATTGAGCTTGGTTTTAATTTTATAACAGAGCTAACAGATACAAGTTTCCAAGAAAACTTTCAACTTCAGGAATTGTACTTAAATAATAATCCATTGGCCAGAATTTCTTCAGTAGCTTTACAACATCTACCCAGTCTTCAGTATTTAGATTTGAGATTTACCAAACTTGCACGTTTACCTTTAGGCCTAGGACACCTCAAAAGTCTGGTCAGTTTGGACGTCTCCAACAGCACGCTCCTGGTCTGTACGTGTATGGAGAGTAGCTTACGGGCCTGGGTTATGAACTTGAACCCAGAAAACGTTCACGGGAGCTGTGGTCAGACCAATGTCTATGACTTCTTTTCTGTTTTAAGTCCCTTGTGTCCCGCTTCAGCAGAAACCCTCTCGTAATTGTCAATCATGCTACTCTCTTAGACTAGTAAATTAACTCGTTGATTTGTTCCGTAATACTTTTTTGTAACATTCAGTATCATCGACCTTGTCTCACAATTCAGGGTTCCCCGTCATTACATCACTTATAGACTTTTTTTATTTCTGCATTTAAAACTTGTAACCCCAGCAGGGGTATTGCATATATATATATGTATTTTTTTGGTATCATCATCTCATCTCATCTTGATCGTTTTGTACCTTACTGTTTCGAGGTGAAGTATAATTTACGGAAAAGCGCCCGTTTATGTGCTTCGTAAATGGGCATACACAGGAACTTTGTAATTCCCTCTGTGTGTGTGTGTGGTTTTTTTTTCCCCCTCAAATGAATAGTGTGAATTAATTATGTTTAAATTGTTTTCTCTCTCAAGCTTTCTTAAACATCCCGGCATTTACCTCGCTCAAGAATTTGTCCGATACGACTATCCTCCATATTTATATTGCACATCAATTATAGGTGAATAATTAGTAATACTGACAACTTACAGATCTTAATGAAAGTAAAATCAGATAGGTCAAATAGAAAAAAAAGACTTCGCTTGTTTATTCTCGCAATGTATGCTTAGCGTGACTCAAGAGGAACAGATTGAAATTATCAGCCTCTAAAATATCCGTTTGGATTGGTCGATCAATCGATAATTATGTATCCCATCTCATGTGTTCCCCATCTCTTCTCCGTTTTTTTTTTTTTGGGTCTGCTTTTATTTTCATTTTCCTGAGGGTTCCAGTGCAAAGACACTCTAGTTATATTGTTCTCACGTTTTCGCAACGTGTGTCCTATCCAACGGCACAGTCTTTTCTTCCCCTCTAAATCCACTGGACCTTGTTCGGTTCTCTTCCAAACCCAACATATACATATCATGCCATGTAATTTACTCTGTTCTGCGCATACATCACTTAATGAATGTTTGTACTTTATTAGTAATTGTTTTAGCTGTTCTTTATATTACTGCTCTAAGTAAAGCAGTCCTTGTTTAACATTCGTATTAAAAAAACGTTTTATATTAGTTTTAATTTCTTTTGACCTCCACAAATTTCCTAATGCTAGTTCAATTGTTGAAGACAAAAAACAAAAAACAAAAAAAAAAAAATGTTTAAAATACCTTGTCATTCTATTATTATTTCTTGACATCAGAGAATGCGTAATGGAATCTGAGGTTATGTCCCGCTGATGGATCCGTCACAGTCTTGATCCGTGCCATCGTTTTTCTTCCGTTAGTTTCTTTGGATGTTCTCCAATGTTCCAAGTATATTTTAGTGGCTTTTGTGTTTAGTATTGATTCAGGTATCCTTGTTTTTGCAACGTAATACACCGGGCTGCGATATCATATTCAACTAAACGGGATTATTTTCGTATTGTGGAGAGGTTCCAAGATTTAACCAAAAAAATCTAACTGTGAGCTTAACTATTCCAAGCATTGCTGTATTCTCACAAAATTAAATATAAGCAGATACACAAGCAAACATACCTCAGCCTAAAATGAGTACCAGATAAAGTCCTGGAAAGCAAAGGCTGTCGGCGTAATGTTGACTAACTCATCCGCCGAGTGCTGACTGGACTGTAAAATGTGAATCTAGAATCACATGCGTGATACTTGACTAACGTTAAGTTTAACTGCTCAGAGGATTTGAGGTTTAGAACAACGGATCAACATCTTGGCACACCGGTAGTAACCTATAAGTGCTCTCTTCTTCTTCTAACTCAAGTCTGGGTCCGAAGAAGCTCAGCAGAGTGCACAGGCTCTGAAGCACCAGCGAAGATCCTGAAAATCAGGAAATAGGCATGGAAGAAGACGAAGTCAGTTTTACACGAATGAATTCTAAGGTTGAATGCTGACTAGGATTGGTGTTTATACTAGAGGCAGCACAGAATACAAAATTTCTGCCGGTGGGCTAAGGGTAATGCTTTCAAATACACATCAATGCAATTCTTTCAAAAGTTGTTTGGACTCTCGGGTCGCCCAGCATGTAATCGACACCAGAAAATGGGAAGTAAAATCGATTATCACAGTAATGACCACTTTACCAATTGTATATTGACTCGTCAAAGACAATTTTGTGCATTTGTCATTTGTCATTTGCCCAGTATGCTTCATGAAAAGTGTCTTACCTTTTTTTTAAAAAAAAAGTTTGGATATTAAAGACGATACAACACAGAAAATTGAAATATTTTGGTCACTTGAAACGTCACGAAAAAATTGGAGAAAAAAATATTGCAGCTGGTATATGCCCGGGAAGAGAGGAAGAGGAAGGCCAAAGAGAAAGTAGATGCAGGATGTGGTGTACTTATTACGTCGCCGAGCCCGTGTTTACTATACTTATTATCTCAACGGGCTATTGTTCGCTTTGCTTATTCTCTGGTTACACTATTCTTTACTTTACTTATTCTCTCACCTAATTATTGCTTATAATAACTGTTGACTCACTTCACCAGTGTTTATGTTACCTCTTTTCCAGTCCAGGCATTGTTCACTTTACTTATTCTCTGAACTGATTAATTTGTTTAGTGTTACCTATTCTCTAACTTTGCCATCGTGGACGTTACTTATGTTCTAGCCCAGCCATTGCCCATTTTACTTAATCTCTGGCCTGGTTATTGTTTGCACTGACTATCGTCTCGCTTAGCCGTCGCTGACGTTAATTATTCACTAGCGTAAATTTTGCCCACTTTACCTAGTCTCTCGCTGTGTTATTGTTTCAAAATCTCAACCTAGCCTCAGCTTAAGATTACAGCATCCGGCGACACTAATTCCTAAATCAGTATGGGAAAGAACAGATGGAACGTTGTACTTGGGCTTTATGTTAGTTTTTGGCTACCAGTGTGTCTGGCATATTGTCCATATACGGTAAGAATTTATTTTTCGATATAGGCTAATTTTGTACCGTGTTTTGTAGCATAGAGTTAACAATGCAGCAAATACTGCAAAATATTTCGTTAGCAGAGACAGACAGTAAAAAAAAATAGACAGAGACAGACAACCAGTGAGTCAGACAGACAGCAAGACAGACAGCAGATTGATTGATATAATCGATGGATAGATAGAATAGACAGACAGACAGAAAGATAGACTGGCATATTGAAAGATAGATAGATAGATCGATAGTTAGATAGATCGATAGATCGATAGATCGATAGATCGATAGACGATAGATAGATAGATAGATAGATAGATAGATAGATAGATAGATAGATAGATAGATAGATAGATCGATAGATCGATAGATCGATAGATAGATAGATAGATAGATAGATAGATAGATAGATAGATAGATAGATAGATAGATAGATAGATAGATAGATAGATAGATAGATAGATAGATAGATAGATAGATAGATAGATAGATAGATAGATAGATAGATAGATAGATAGATAGATAGATAGATAGATAGATAGATAGATAGATAGATAGATAGATAGATAGATAGATAGATAGATAGATAGATAGATAGATAGATAGATAGATAGATAGATAGATAGATAGATTGAATAGTGTCTCTATTTCCAGGAATGCTTCTGTAGCGGTAGTATCGTATCCTGCTCAGATAAAAATCTACAAGCTGTGCCCCGTTTGGTCCACACAAATGCAAGCTCGCACTGGTCTCTGGACATTGATGTAGGTTGTTTCCCTTTTAATCAGTTTGACTGTACTGATGTTTAAGAAAGCTTGATGACTTACTTAACTGTTTGCTATTTGATTTAATGTAGATGTAGCGACTAAATAGCCATTATTATCCTATGATACTGCTGTTCCTCGTGGGGGTTCCAGGGTCTAATTGTAGGGGAAAACCAGAATAGGCCCACTACCTCCACTTCAAGCATCTCGTAGGGGATGACTAATTGGGGATGAGGAAAGGGGAGAGGGGTTCTTTTAAAGTAAGAGTGCATCTGCCTGAGAGGCCAGGAACCAGCAACTTGCATACAAATAAGCAAGATCTGTAAAACGGATGCACACTTAAAACTCAGGTCCTGGAACAAAGCCAAAGTCCAGCACTGGAAATTAGTTGTTTGGGTTATCATCATTGCACTCCGGAAATGTCCATAGGTGCTCAGATCCTCCCCTCAGTATGAACCCCAACGTCCAATGACTACAAGTACCAGTTCTATGTTGATTAACAAGTCTTCTGGAGTGTCTGGTGAGCGTCTCGATTTTTGCTATGCCGATCTTAA